GCCTGAAGGGCAGTACTGGCGTTGTAAGCCACTTGGCTGGGCTCGTGCACCACCTTCACTTGCTTCATGACAAGGTTCACCTGGTGCAGAGCTTCCCTAGCAGCACTCGGCGAGTCATCCGGAGTCTGATACGCAGCAAAAAGTGATGGCTGCAGAGCAGCCGAGGTATTCGCTGGGTCGGAGGCGTGGAGCTGCATTGGGGCAGCATGAGTCGGTGTGGTCGAGCCCACCGGACGATCAGTCGTCAGCGGGCTGGCGAATGTGACGCTGGTCCGAACATGCTCTCCAGAGCGTTCGACCACCACCTCGAGCGCCGTCGTCGATGAGGAATCTGAACCTCAAGCCTCCTCTTGCCAGCACTCCCACTCCTCCTCTTCCTCTCCTGTAGAGGCACTTCTTCTTCGTCATCAGGGAGCACAACAACTTCTTGCAGAACTACAGAAAAGGAGAAAATGTCAGAAACTCTATCCATTGACAGTCTACACGATTCAACGAAGCTTGGCCGATCAGACTTACCAACTCGTGAGGTGGCTTCTTTGTCTCCTGGCGCCTTGTCAATGTCCATGTCAGTGGCAGCAGAGGTGGGGCTGGAAAGACACATGAGTTAGTGGGTCAGAACAAGAAAGTCTTCAGTCGACTTACAAAAATAAAAGCAGGATACTCACCCCGAAGCGACAGGGACGTCCATCTTGATTCGTGGCAGTGTCTTCCGGGCCTTGGGAGGAGAAACTTTAGGCTGCTTGGCCACCTTCTCCGTCGGCTCCGGAGTCGACGTCCGAGTGCGTTTCTGGGTAGTGGCACTCGGGGCCACACTTTTCCCACGCCCGCCAGACGGATCATGTTGCTGTTTGGATCGACGTTCAGAGCGCGGCAGCGAGTCGACCTCTTCCTCCTCGTCTTCCTCCTCGCTCTCCTCCTCCTCCTCTTCTCCCAGGGACTCCCACTCACCACTCTCCTCCGCACTATCCTCCCTCTCCTGGTCCTGCGCCAAAGCCTGTTCGCCGTTGGGCATTGAATGCATCTCAGTGAATACCTGCAAAGCAAATCGATCGAAGCAAGAGTCAGACAACATCAAGTACAGTCAGAACACGAGCGGAAAATAGTCGGAACAGAGAATGTACCTTGTCGGGTGGGTTGTCATCACCGAAAGGGACGACTCGCCTGGATCCTCTAGGGTTGTCTTGGTTGCCCGTGATACCCTTCAACCACAAGGCTACGGTTTCGAGCAACACTTCTTCTGGATGGACCCTAGCGGTGTCGTCCGGTCCGGAATACAACCACATTGGGTGATCGCGGGCCTGGAGAGGCTGGATGCGCCGACTGTGGAACACTTCCAGCAAGTCCAAGCCAGTAAGGCCATCATTGATGAGCTGGACCACTCAGTCTACCAACATCCTCGTTTCCATGGTCTCAGCAGCAGTAACTTTCAGTGGAGCGGGAGTCTGGACACGGTCGAATGAAAAAGGAGGAAGACCGGTCGACTGACTTGGAGCCGCAACGTCCTGGAAATAGAACTAGGACGACTGCCAACCCCTAACAGATTCAGGAAGAGTCACAGTAGGAAAAGCGCTCTTATTCCTCTTTTGGATACCTAGACCCCCGCACATCTGGATAACATGGGTTTTCGAGTCACTCGACTTCGCCTTTTTTACCGACTAGGAGCGAATGGTGAAGATGTGTTTGAAGAGACCCCAGTGCGGTCGACACCCTAAGAAGTTCTCGCACATCGACACAAATGCGGCTAGGTACGTGATGGTGTTGGGGGAAAAGTGGTGGACCTGTGCACCGAAGAAGTTCAAAAACCCACGAAAGAAAGGGTGCGGGGGGAGCGAGAAACCCCGGTCGACGTGAGTGGCAAGCAGGACACACTCACTCGGTCGAGGTTGCGGTTCCGTCTCCCCCTTCGGCAACCTCGCCGCTCCCTTGGCAATCAGCCTGGACTCCTCCAGTTCGGCCAGATCCTCCTGCCGTACCGAAGACCGGATCCAATCGCCCTATATCCAGCCCGGCGGTAGCCCCGCGCGCGATGACGATCCATGGCCCTGCTTCTTGCCCTTCGCCGCCCCCGTCGCCTTCTTAGCGTGATCTAGCGCCGCCGTCTTGTCCTTCACCATGGCGAGAGAGCAGCAGTGTCGGGAGCGGAGGCGCTGGACGCGGCAGAGAAACGGAGAAGAAAGAAGAAGAAGCAGGCGTGCACAGTGCAAGCGCCCCCGGTCCCGTCGCCTTATAAAGGGTCACTTCTGAGTGACTGGCGCGTGGGGCCGAGCAATCTCATCAAATCCTGCTACAATTGCGCGCAGCGTACGTGGCGAAAAAGGCGGCGCGGTGATCGAGGCATCGCTACTTATCCGAACCGCCAGTTTCTGCGCTCTCCAGCACGCACGCTTCCCCGAAATTTCGTATCCCGTGAAATCCGGGATTCACCGCAGACAATCGTGCCCAAGATCGCGCGCTCCAACACAACACTCAACGCATGGGGTCACTAGTTCAATCGACAGCTCTCTGAATGGATCAAGACGACCGAGTCGACACTGAAGTAGCAACGCGGGCGTTCAGTCTTGCAGGAAACACTCGCGAAGGCACAAAGCTCAGAATAGGTCCAACTTTATCCTACTTTCCACTCGCACCTTAATCCATTCGGGGCCTACTGACAAGGATACAGATCTAGGGTAGGATCATAGGCCTAACCTATACGTCCTACCCAAGGTCACTACCCTGGAAGATAAAAAGACCAAGAGACAACAGGCACTACTAGGGAAAAGCCTAGCAGCATCGCGGGTTTTGGGTGTATCAGTAGCGCGGGTGCCCGCGCTATTGATATGGCGCCACAACTAACTTGTAGCAGTAGCGCGTGTTGACACACGCTACTGCTATACATGGTTAGCTGTAGCGTGCGTTGCAAACAGCGCTACTGCTAATTAGCTGTAGCGGGTCTTATACCCCGCGCTACTGCTATTACTTTCAAAAACAAAAAAAATCTCGATCCCGTGCGTGCTGTCAATTGCAGCAATGGTAAGATCTAGCGATGATTGGCGTCGCCGGAGGCATGAACGGACAATGAAAGACCAGATCCAGCAGTGGCTGTTGGAGAGGGCCTGTTTCTATGGCAGAGCCAGGCCGCGGCGTGGGGCTTCTCTTCCCGACCATGCCAGATAACTCCGGGTCATCCATGGCGACGACCTGCACAGGCATGGACATGGGAGGGTGAGTCAAACCAGAGGGAGAGAGAGAAAAGGAAAACCGAGGGAGAGAGGAAGGTGATGTAGGGAGCAGCGGAGCTAGTCACCGGTGGCGAGGTGCTCCGGTGTGGTGGCGCGGGGCGGCGGCCTCCTAGACGTCGGTGGAAGACCGGCGAGCTCCTAGACGCCGGTGGTGCGAGGCGGCGGCCTCTTTCGGCGCCATGGAGGAGGATGGGTGCATGGGCAAGAGGTCCATGTGAGAGCGTATGGAAAGTGACAAGAGGGATTTGGGGGAGGAGATGGGGATTCGGCCGAGGATATGGCGACTTCACCTACCTCGTACTTAGTAGTAGCGAGGGGTATAAAACCGCGCTACTACTATCAACTTAGTAGTAGCGCGGGTTTATACCCCTTGCTACTACTATGGCATGTGTCGGTGGGCACGGTAGAGACCGCTTAGTAGTAGCGAGGGTTAAAAACCCGTGCTACTGCTAATTAGCAGTAGCGCTTCTTTTTGTGCCGCGCTGCTGCTAAGATTTTGTGTATAAGGTTTTCCCTAGTAGTGAGGAGAGCCCTGGTCGAATGCGTCGAGTGCAATCCACTCGACGACCACATCACTCGACGGTCCTCCTCCCTACCGTCACTCGACCATATGAAGAGTCACTCGACCTAGCGAAAGACCGGGAGTCGGAAGATCACGCAACGGCCAGACACTCACTCCTTAGCCTTTATAAGCATTAAGAGTGTTTAAGGCTGGCGTTACCAGTAACGCCCCTTACTTTATGTACATTAAGCCCCTTATAATGGAGGCGGGCAGGGGTCCTGGCACTCTATATAAGCCATCCTTCTCCTCTTGCACAAGGGTCGCACCCCCTGTAATACAACACACATAATCCAATCGACCGCCTCCGGTCACCGAGACGTAGGGCTATTACTTCCTTTGAGAAGGGCCTGAACTCGTAAACCTCGTGTGTACATCTTCGGCATAGCTAAGATCTTGCCTCTCCATACCTATCCCCCTTTCTACTGTCAGCCCTAGGACCACGACAGCAATGGCTTCGCCTTTATTGGCGAGCCACCTTGGAGGTCCGCAAAGCTGCATATCAGCGACGGAGCCGCGTCGAGCTCGGGTGTGGAGGTGATCCGTCATTTTCTTCTTTGGTGGCTGCTATGGTGGTGCCAGAGGCAAGTGACGGGCGTTGGTGTCAAACTCAGACGATTCTTCCGTCTTGTTTGTAATTTTACTTCTTGGCTAGTGTTTCTGTGTGCAAAGGCTAGCGTTCTGCTGTCTTTTTAGTTTTGTCAGGTCGGTACTCGGTATGTACGTGGTTTGCATTATAATCCTTATGATATAAATGAGACATATATTATCATGAAAAAACGCAGAGAACACGTGTGAGGATGACGTGTACACTTCGTAAACGACGTAAAGTTTCCTAGTCGGCGGCCTTCTCGCGCTGGTCGCTGCACGAGAGAAGTGCTAGTCAATTTCTGCAGGCCCTGCTTTTGCTCGGCTGCCGCACATCGGAAGCGACGATAGAGCGAGAGTGTGGCGGTTACAAGAGAACGAACAATCTGGTGGGTAGTGGGCTCCAAACGCACGTGCATGCGAGTATACTTTTCTTGAGCTGGTCGACGCGTAGGGTCAAGCATGGTTTGTCTACGCACATTGCATGCATATCTTGCGGTGTGCAGAGATCGTACTTGCTCGCTCGGTAGAACCCAACCCACTATATAAATGAGACGCACACGCGTCGATCCAGACATCCAGTTCCACTCTGACAAACAAGAGTATTCCACTGCCCATCTGTGCAAGCAAAGATGGCACGACTGCTCCTCCTCGTCCTGGCCACCTCACTCGTTGCGCTGGCGTCGTGCCAACGTCTTCCGGTGCTCGCACCGGTCACCAAGGACCCCGCCACCTCCCTCTACACAATCCCCTTCCACCAGGGCGCCAGCCTCGTCCTTGACATCGCCGGCCCGCTCGTTTGGTCCACGTGCCAGCGCGGCGATCTGCCGACAGACATCCCGTGCAGTAGCCCCACCTGCCTCCTTGCCAACGCCTACCCGGCCCCGGGCTGCCCCGCGTCCAGCTGCGGCAGCGACAGGCACCACAAGCCGTGCAAGGCGTACCCATACAACCCGGTCACCGGCGCCTGCGCCGCCGGGAGCCTCGCCCGCACGACGCTCGTAGCCAGCACCACCAACGGGAATTACCCGGTGAGCGAGGTGAACGTCCGGGTCCTGGCGGCGTGCGCGCCGAGGAAGCTCCTGGCGTCGCTGCCCCGGGGCTCCACTGGCGTGGCCGGGCTCGGGGGCTCCGGCCTGGCGCTGCCGGCTCAGGTGGCGTCCACCCAGAAGGTCGACAACAAGTTCCTCCTCTGCCTCCCCAGCGGCGGCCCTGGCGTGGCCATCTTCGGCGGCGGCCCGCTCCCGTGGCCGCAATTGACGCGATCGATGCCGTACACGCCGCTCGTCACCAAGGGCGGCAGCCCCGCGCACTACATCTCCGTCAAGGCCATCCAAGTGGAGGACACCCGCGTCTCCGTCTCAGAGCGCGCGCTCGTGATGCTCAGCACGAGGCTGCCCTACGCCATGCTCCGCCGGGACGTGTACCGCCCATTGGTGGACGCGTTCACCAAGGCCCTAGCGGCGCAGCCTGCCAACGGAGCGCCCGTGGCGCGCGCCGTGAAGCCTGTGGCGCCGTTCGAGCTGTGCTACGACACGAAGTCGCTGGGCAACAACCCCGGCGGGTACTGGGTGCCGAACGTCGGGCTGGCGCTCGACGGCGGGAGTGACTGGTGGATGACTGGGAAAAACTTCATGGTGGACGTCAAGCCGGGGACGGCGTGCGTTGGGTTCGTGGAGATGAAGGGGGTGGATGCCGGCGCCGGCAGGGCGCCGGCGGTGATACTCGGAGGAGCCCAGTTGGAGGAACTCGTGCTCGACTTCGACATGGAGAAGAAGCGGCTCGGGTTTCTCAGGCTGCCACACTATATGGATTGCAGCAGATTCAATTTCACTCGAAGCGCTTAGAACTGTCACTGCCTGTAATAACAAGTTTGTTTATGAGGCCTCTTTGTTTATCTACGGTATATCATTCGACCACTCCCTGTAATAATAATAAGCCTTTTTTTATCGACGGTGTATTATTCGACTACTGCATGTAATAATAAGCCTGTTCTTCTAAAAAGACATGGTGCCGAATGTCGGGCTGTTTGCGGACTGTTTTTTACGAGATGAAGCTGGTTTCTTGGTCGCGGCTTCATGCAGTGATACCTCTTTGTGGAGATGGGCTCTTACTCGTAAATGAAGTTGGGTGCAATAAAATTTGCGTCGAGTCCGACTGCATGGAGTTCATCGAAGTCATGCAAAGGGTGGTAATTCGCTAGGCCCGGCCAACCGCAATTTATGAAGAATGTTCTTTTCTTGCTAGAAATTTTACTTGTATTATGTATTGGCTAGAAACTCGGAGTTCTCTCATACAATTGTTCAGAAATCGAAAGCTCCAGGGTTTCTAGTAGATGAATTAACAGATGATGTATCAGTTTTTGCGCATGAAATATAAACCACCATGATGGCTTTTCCTCAAAAAATAAACCACCGAGCGAAAAATTGTACTCGGCAAATAGAAACTTTGTCGAGTGGTACAGTCATCAAACAAAGAACACTAGACAAAAGAAGGTTCTTTGCCGAGTGTCAGTCTCTACCGAGTGTTTTTTACAAGACACCCGGCAAACAATTAAAAAACAATAAAATGCATAGTTCATTTGGAATTTTAGATGATAAACATAAAAGAAAGAGTCAGGGTACAAGCCGATCAAGTCTGGGGAAAGAGAAGGACATAGTGGTGTTGATGAGGGGAAGGAGAAGGACATAGTGATGTTGATGGAGATGGCACCGATGGAGTGGCGACGGTGGAGATGGCACTGCACCGAAGGGTGGCATGGCACGGTGGCGAAGCCTCCTCTTCCTTCTCCTTGATCTTGGCCCTTCTTCTATGGTGGTGGTCTTGGAGCAATTCGGGAGATAGATATGGTGATATGAACGTTCGTAAGATGATGATAGTCGGCAACTAGGGTTGGAGGTGTATATATAGGAGGCCTTTTTGGGTCTAGATGAGCCAAATCCAGTCCCAATACCTCCCTTGGTGGCCAAGGAAATATCGTGGGAACAAATGAAGACCAAATAGAATCGCGTGTCCGAACATGGTCGTACGAGAAACCATCTTGTAACTCAGGACCTTCAGTAGCAGTTTAGTATTTTGGCCGTTATTTCTTTATACTAACTCTGATTCTGATGTTCCTGGGCTTGTTGGATTCATATGAATGACCCCAATGCCCTTGTGGTATTGGAGATTCAATTTGAGAACTTTGAACATGTCATATTTGACACACAAAATGACTAAGCTGGTGACTAGCAGTCCTCCGCATTGATCCAACCTTGACCTTTTCATAGTGCTTGTTCCATGGTGGCTCAAAACACCTATAGAAAAAACAGAAACAAAGGAAACTAATAAAATATAACAATAAACTACAAACAATGCAATGCTCGCAACGGAAAGAGAATAAACGGGAAATAATGCGTAATGCACAACGACAGACAACGACAGTGGGGAAATTCCTACTCGTTTTTTTTGAGGGGTAAGGCATTTATTGAAATAAAACAAACCAAGTCCACAAAACCTGAAAGTATCATCTGCACTAACTGCAGGAATTAAGCAAAAAACTCACGTCTCCTCTGCACTAGCTGCAAGAATTAACCAACACCCGGAATTTTATCTGCAACACACTGCAGAATACATTCAGGTGGCATATCAAGCCACTCTTTATTCATTTCAATGCCAATACCCTCTTTTGCTAGTCTGTGCGCCGCACCATTTGCTGATCTTCGCATCCAGCTCACCTTGTAGTCCTGTCTTGTCTGAAGTAGCTCCTTGATCTCTTCAACAAGAGGCCCAACCGCAGCTAGATTCTTGCTCCTGCCATTGAGCATTGCCACAACCTCCTTACTGTCAAGCTCTAGATGAACTCTCTGAAAACCTTGCTGTATAGCAAGTTGCACCGCCCGCCAGCTGGCCATTACTTCCAGGAGCTCTGGGCCGGATATGCTGGGAAGAAACACACAAGCCCCTCCCCGATACGCACCTTCATGGTCTCGTAGGACCACTCCTCCAGCCCCCTTTGATCTGAGTTTTGTTGTAGCACCGTCCGCATTCGCCTTTATCCAACCCAAGTCAGGCGGTTTCCACTTCTCTACCTGCGTCGGCTTGTTTTGTCTGGCAGTTTTCGGATGTGCCTCTCTCCATTGATTCATGTGTGAGACCACTCTCTCAGCAATGGTTCGTGCGTCCGCAATACGCTTACCGTCCCTCGCCTCGTTCCTTGCCAGCCACATCCCATATAGCGCCTGGATCATTGTCTCGCATTCTTCGTCATTAGCATCAGCGACCCAGTCCTTCATCCAAGAAGAAATGCTTGTAAAGGTTCCATCCATCTCTGGCGGAATGACTACAGGTGCCATCAACTCCTCTCTCAGCGCCCTCCAGAACAGCTTTGAGTGCGGGCAGGCCCAAAACCGGTGGTATACTGACTCCTCTCTCCCACAAGCCACGCAAAACACACCACCTTTTATCCTACGCTTATATAGTTCATCTCCAACAGCCAAACCATTTCGCATCAACCGCCACGTATGGATCTTCGCCTTATTTGGTGCATCGGTGTTCCATAGTGACAACCAAGTTTTGTGCATCCTGAGCGAAGACGAGGATCCCGGCTGTCCAGTCCTCGCCCCCTTCATGCTCATCCTTAAGTGGTATGCTGATTTGACTGTGAATTGTCCATTCTTCATGAAATTCCATGCCAGATAATCACTTCTACCCGGGCCGCCCACCACTATCTGCTTTATATCACATGCATCATCAGCTGTGAACATTTCATCAACCTTTGCTTCATCCCATCGAGTACCATCAGTAGTAAGTAAGTCAGCCACCTTGGTGATTCCCTGTACGTAAACTTGACCCACTGGTTTAAGACTCCCTTGCCGCGGAATCCAATTATCATGGTGTACATTGATGGATGATCCATCACCTATCCTCCAGACAAGTCCTTCCCGCAGCAAATCCCGTCCATGCAAAATGCTTCGAAAGGTGTATGATCCCCCACTTGGGCACGTAGCTGTCATAATTGATCCCTCAGAGAAATACCGTGCTTTAAGAACTCGGGCGCAGAGAGAGGTAGGGTTCTGCAAGATTCTCCACGCCTGTTTAGCCAACAATGCTTGGTTGAACACCTCCGGATCCCGGAAACCCATGCCCCCCTCCCTCTTTGCCCTGCACATCTTATCCCAAGAAATCCAATGTACTTTCCTTTCACCATTTGCTGCACCCCACCAGAACTTTGAAGAGATTGATTTCAGGTTCCCGCACATTTTCTTTGTGAGTTGAAAACAACTCATAGTGAAAGTAGAAGTAGCTTGAAGTACAGATTTAACTCGGACTTCTCTTGCTGCCTTTGACAAACCTTGTCCCTTCCATCCAGAGACCTTGCCTGTTGCGCATTCCTTTACGTATTTAAACGTGCCCTCTTTTGATCTCCCAACCAGTGTTGGTAAACCGAGGTAACGTTCACTTAAGGCTTCAGAGGTAATGCCAATAGCTTGCTTGAGTCCTTCCTTGTCCTCCTGCCTGCAACCCTTACCAAAAAATATAGATGATTTTTGTAGGTTTACCTTCTGTCCTGATGCCACCTCATAATCAGCTAGGATACTTGTCAAAGTGTGCATGGAATCTTGGGAGCCCTCCAAGAAAACAATACTGTCATCCGCAAACAGCAGGTGTGTGACATGGGGGCCAGTGCTCCCAAACGACACCCCTTTGATCTTGTTCTCCATCTGAGCGTTCTTCAGCAGCGCCGAAAAGCCCTCTACGCAAAACAATAAGAGGTATGGAGATAGCGGGTCTCCTTGCCGGAGCCCCCTTGATGGCATAAAACTGCGAGATACACCTGAAGGAAATATGCCCTAGAGGCAATAATAAAGTTATTATTTATTTCCTCATATCATGATAAATGTTTATTATTCATGCTAGAATTGTATTAACCGGAAACATGATACATGTGTGAATACATAGACAAACATATAGTCACTAGTATGCCTCTACTTGACTAGCTCATTAATCAAAGATGGTTATGTTTCCTAACCATAGACATGTGTTGTCATTTGATTAATGGGATCACATCATTAGAAGAATGATGTGATTGACATGACCCATTCCGTTAGCCTAGCACTTGATCGTTTAGTATATTGCTATTGCTTTCTTCATGACTTATAAATGTTCCTGTAACTATGAGAAATATGCAACTCCCGTTTACCGGAGGAACACTTTGGGTACTATCAAACGTCACATCGTAACTGGGTGATTATAAAGGAGTAATACAGGTGTCTCCGAAGGTACATGTTGAGTTGGCGTATTTCGCGATTAGGTTTTGTCACTCCGATTGTCGGAGAGGTATCTCTGGGCCCTCTCGGTAATGCACATCTTTATAAGCCTTGCAAGCAATGTGACCAAATGAGTTGGTTACGGAATGATGCATTACGGAACGAGTAAAGAGACTTGCCGGTAACAAGATTGAACTAGGTATTGGATACCGACGATCAAATCTCGGGCAAGTAACATACCGATGACAAAGGGAACAACGTATGTTGTTATGCGGTTTGACCGATAAAGATCTTCGTAGAATATGTAGGAACCAATATGGGCATCCAGGTTCCGCTATTGGTTATTGACCGAGAATAGTTCTTGGTCATGTCTACATAGTTCTCGAACCCGTAGGGTCCGCACGCTTAACGTTACGATGACAGTTTTATTATGAGTTTATAAGTTTTGATGTACCGAAGTTTGTTCGGAGTCCCGGATATGATCACGGACATGACGAGGAGACTCGAAATGGTCGAGACATAAAGATTGATATATTGGACGACTATATTCGGACACTAGAAGTGTTCCGGGTGATTTCGGAGAAAACCGGAGTGCCGGA